AATTTATTTATTTATTTTTTTTTAATCCTCAAAATCTAATAATTAACAAAAGTATCGGGGTATAAAGGCAAAACTCCTAAAAGCCCTTTATTAAGAAGAACATCACGTTGATACGATCTTTTATTCGTTGTGTGATTGGTTGAAACTAGTTACGTAGTTTTGAAGTACAGTGGGGGAATTCAAAAATTTATATTTGAAGAGGAAGGGGCGAAGCCCATTAGTATAAGCAAAAAAACCGAATTTTTTCCAAAATCTTGTGAAAAAACTGTAATTTCAAACTTAAAAAATTAAACAAACTCACTGTAATGCATCACCATGACTTAAAAGTAAAAAACTTTTTTACAAAGTTCATGCATCTGCGAGCAATGAAGATACTATGATAAATATTTTCACTAAAAAACGAAGATTGATTTCAGTTACGAAAACAGCATGAATTTTCCACGTTGCTTACGCTAATTCGAGCTGAAATTTTCCTCATACCACAACGATATTGACCTGCATACATAACGTGATCTATGTAGATAGAAACAACAGATAGCGCAACCTCATAGGACCTCCAAACACTGTAACATGTTGTCATTCAACTCCTCTTCCACGCCCAAGTACTCTTCTTCCTCTGATATTTGCGCCTCTTAGCTCTTGCAGTACCCCTAGCATCGCAGATACCAAGCAAAACGCCCAAAAAGAAACTCCTCACGTAGGCAGCATCCCGATTTTTATTTTTCCGACTGACCTGCACACGGCACAATAATACATATCTCTCTCTTAAGTTGGCCACAGGTAATGGGCAAAATGGCTCCGTGAATTCGTTATTACGAACGAGACGGGCTTGGCGGCACAAACGCGCTGGAGAGCCACAACACAGTAGAGTAGTTGGTGGTGGTGGTGGGAACAAAGCTATACGTGAATTGAGGAGAAACCCATGGAATGCATAATCAAAGGGGATCAGAGGTAAAGGCCGTCTCCCAGCACGCTTTCGTTGTACAAATGCTTGTAGCGCATGTGTATTATGCGATGGGAGCGAGAGTAGATAGTCAAAACAGAGAGATACGGAAAAATAAAGCGAGAGCAATGGTATAGAATAAAGTGACCATACATTTTAATATATCTCCCCTCTAATGCATCTTTCTTAGTAACTCTTTTTTATTACAACGCGATAACTGTAGTTTACGTACTTGTTGACTCGAATTTATCTACTTAATATTTTACTTTGCTTAATTATTAACGATAGTTGTTTCACTGTTTGATCTGCGTGTACAGTTTACTCAAAAGCTTATGAAAAATTAAATTCTAGCATGTTTTTTCAACGACAAGAGTATAATCTAGACAGGTTTTTACTTTTTTACTTTATCTTTTGTGTAGTTTTGAAATTTGAACCCACTACTCTGACTAGCCATCTTAGAATTGAAGTTGTTTTATACTCGTACGTTCGTTTGAACCTCAAGTAAAAATTGATTTTAGAAAAATTTTGAAACTAATATAATTTCAACATTTTATTACACATCAGAGAATCATCGACATTTTCTACCAATTGTTTAGCGTCCATTTATGCTAGCGGTTTTTCTTATGATTCAGTTCTCCTAAAGGAATGATATATAGTAAATGATTCAACGCTGAGATTCGGTGGACGACGACAACCAGTATACCGATTATACTAGCATTGATGAAAAAATAAAAGTTTACAATTTTTGTTTAAGATTACATCAACTGCAACATAAAAACGTGTCGAATGTGTAGACATATTGTTTTGCATAAAATTATATTGCCACGTGAAATGGAACGAGCAAGTTCCTAAAACAGGAAAAACATTTACATATAGAAATTTGACATTGAGGAAACACAGTCAAGCTAAGTATTTACTATACATAACTTGAAAAATCAGTTATTTATTTCATATTTTTGCAAACTCAAATAATACATCATAAGATTACACTTCATTCAATGTCTTCAAAAGTATATGGATTCATAAAAACGAGACGATTGTATGTAATCAAAATTTTTGCAAATGTCATCGATGAGAATAAAACAGTAACGAATTAGTCATTAACTATATTTGACTCAAACAAAAATCCACCTAGGCAACTTCAATTATATTGTTTTTTACATTTACATTGTTTTTAAAAGAAAAAAACATGAGATTTGTCCACCTTTTAATAAAAGTTTGAAAAAGTATGTTCATAGTTGCCAAAAAAAAAACAAAATTCATAAATTAGAACTATAATGTGACACTAAATACTATTTTGTATGTAAACATATTATTTGTTAGGAATATGAAGTAATTATAAAAATAGTTAATAGCTTTGTTAAAATCCAAGACAGTAAAGTGTAATTATGAGGTATGAGTATCTAATTATATCTTTTTTTAACGGCTCTTTGTAACAAACGTACATAGTCACAAAATAACTACATTTTTTCAAAATATAAACCCAATACGCTTTATCTGAAAACTGTCAAGTTGCACTTTGATATTGGGCTTAACATAAAGTCAATAAAAATACGAGTGAATTATATAAGCAGTATTGATAAAGATTAGTTCTACAACTCTATCGTTAATAATTTCCGTTTGCGCAAGTAATCAATGTCTATAATTGTCATCTAATAATTAATGAAAAACGCAGTTCAAAAATTTTCAGTTTATAAAAAAACACGATGAAAATCACGATAAATGCGGATTAATTTTATATATACTAATATAGAATTCGTATTTCTTCATTTTTCAAATTTTATTAATTTTTTTTAGCTAATCACAGTTTACTATCCATGGAATATTATTTTTTCATAGATGTATTTATTTGTCTCAATTTCGAGTCTTTGTAGACTGTCCATTCATTTACTTGCATCATTCTCTCTCTTAAATTTTCAACCACATTCTAAAAATTGCGAGATTTTATTTGGCTAGATGCCAGTGACATGTGAGATACGTGACACTAAACCGAGTTTTTCAGGCAATGAAGGTAAGTAATTTGATAAAAAAAGTCTCCCTAATTTAGGTAAAAATATTTTAATGGTTAACATTACACTTGCTCTATAACAAATTTAATTTTAAGTTTTTTTTTCACGTGAATCGTTATCGTATAATCTATTACTTGTCAAATTTTATCGAGAAATAAAATTACCTAGTTCAAGTTCAGGCCTTATCTAAAACATGCATGCGGTTCCTTAGAAAAACCTAAAATTTGTTTAATGTTCTACTTAACGAGAACGAGTGGGGACCTTTAACAAGACCATTGAAAAAAATTTTTATTTATTTTATAGATCTGATAGTCTTCTATGAAATTGGCCAATCTTTTGTGACGTCGTTTAGACTGGATATATAAAAATTGTACACATAAAAATGGATACAAAATCTTCGCAGTAGATTTTATACACAATTAGTTTATATTTTTTTTATAAGATGTTGATTTAAAATAATTATCGTACACAAATAATATACTCTACAGCCGTACACATACAATTGTACACAAATATGACCGATTTATTATTATATTGAATGATGCAGATACAAGTACACAATTTTTATAAAAAATGTATACACTATTATTTAGTTCGTGTACGAAAATAAAACTGTCATGTTTGTGTACAGTGATATTTGTACTACTATAAAGTTTATTATTTGTTTATAGTAAAACTATGGGTAATGACTTTATTGTTGCAAATTATTTTGTGAACAAAAATGACTAAAGTGTGTTCGAAGCTATCACGAACACTTTTGTATAAAGTTTTTATGTGTCTTATCCAAACCTCTATAAGTATACTCATCGAATAACTAAATTAATGCGTATGATTAAGGTACAAGTTGTGGGGTAAGTGTTACAGATAATTGAATAGACCCTTATATTACGCACACAGTAATTTAAAAACATAAAGTTACATTTGACATAATGTAGTGAGAAATTATTTTAAAAATTTTCTCTACTTCGATTTTTCACGGAAAAATTATACTATTCATAAAAATAATGTTATGTTGTTTTAAGTTTTATAATAAAAAAAATCTTATGAAATTACATTTGCTATGAATTTTTGGCATAAAAATATTTTTATCTTATTAAACATTTTCTTTCTACTTTAAATTAATAATGCCGAATTAATTATAATTATATACTTGGTAATAACTTGCTCGTTACAGTAATATTGTGTCATAACATTCTTCCATTGCATAGAAATAATAATCAAGTAAGAACTTTGACCTTGAATATATTGAAAGTGAGTAAACTTACAATCTACCAATCTTTTACGAATAAATCATTTCCTTTATTAATCATTCCAAACCTAACAATAGTGTTTTTTTTTTCAGAAAATTCAGTAGTCCTTGAATTATTATTACAATTTGTTATATCTTACACGTGTGTTACTGGTGCAAATAAGAAGCAAAAAAATATTTAATTTTTAAACAAGATCCAATACGCATGACAACCTTGGTGTTGTCACCTGCTCCGAAAACATCAATACTTGAATGCGGAAACAGCACAGCTCAAATCTTACACGTTCATCTTCTTATTGTACGTTCTTTCAAAGCATCAATTCATTCTCCCTCTCCCCCCTTTTTCCATTCGAGAACCATATACCATCCTCCACAAATTTTACTTTCACCTCCAGCCTTCGACTCGCCCTTTTGTCATTGACAGATCCAAAACTCCAGCGAGTAGCCAAAAATTAAAAAAAAAATAAACCAAATAAACCAAAAACTCACTATTGGGTATGTTATTCGACGACATGTTGGCCCTTGGCTCAGTCGAGCTTCGCTAAACGAAAAAAGGTTACGACTGCGCACGAGGGTGGTATGCTGGCGCACGCGCTGCTCCTGTAAACCTGGTCACCCTTTTATAGTCACTCGCTTCTCACGACGAATCGATGCTCCAAAGTCAGGGCCAATGTTGCTGCAGTACAACGTAGGTACGACGCGCACACGTGGCCCGCACAGCTGTTTGTTAAGTAACACGAGGTGTTACCGCATTGATTTTCGAAAGGAAATGAAAAAAAAAAAAAAAAAAAACGATGATAAACCACGTTCAACTTATGGTATGGGTGTGCGACACTCGGGAAAATGCTACGTATTGGTGAGTATTGGTTTTTGCGCGAGCCGAGAATGACACGACCGGCTTGACGGCGCGCGCCTTTCGAACTGCCAGCCGCTCTCTTCGAAGCGCCGTGTTTAAGTTTAGCCGTGCGTGAGTAAGCCTCGCTTGTGAGCGTACACGGGCGTATGTAACATCACCGATCGGTCGAGCTCCGATAGTAATGTATACGCGCGTGTAATTGGCTGACGATTATTGCCGTGGAATTGAAAAAATTTCGCGCTCGTTAATAAAAAAAAAAAAAAAAAAAAAAAAAAAAAAAGGAGGGGTGCGCGAGCAGCTGTGGTAGTATGTATAGAGTTTCACGTGAGGCAGCGTCGTCCGCGCTGTGAACTCTGCAGACCGGCAAAACGAGGAGACGATCTCGCTCGTTGAGCTATTAATACCCACCCATTCTTTTTTGGGGTCAAGAAACTCGAGGTGCTCATTAGAGTGTCGGATTTTTTAAGCCCATCGACGAAAGAGATTCGATTTTTTTTTTACTTATGCTTTTTATGGCTTCTGACATACGATTGTTTGTTTTCTCGGACGTGAAGTGGGAGATAACGATACTCCAATTGTCGATGCAGCTTCTCCATTAACGAGTCAGATTTATTGATGAACACTCGAGGATAATGTCAGTCTCATTGATGATTTTATGCAATACAAAACATATCAATTGTTATCATGTATGTGTTTATGTTGATTACGAAAATTAAAAAAATATGGTATTCGTCTTTATTTTCAACATAGCTGCCAAAATAATATTTAGCAATAACACCTTTGTCGTTGAAAAACTTGCCCATATTGGATCAAAAATCGTTTGTTATAGCAATTTTGTTGTGAACACTTTAATTATTTCGAAAAGTATTCACGAGTCATTAAGCACATCAATAATGGTTAGACTCATCATTGTACAACAATAAATTTCATTGTAAGAGAAGTTAAGTCGACATGGCGTTGTATATGAGGCTGGCACCTTATCGCTTTGCCACGGTGATGGGCTTGCACTGACTCGAAATAGTTGGAAAATCATATGTTCAACACATCACTGCTATTGATATCGGTTGATTGACGCATCATCCTCCCGCCTCTACGTTTTTCATTATTCATTTTACTTCATTACATTATCTAATGTTTGAATGTGACTTATATCCACGATTTTTTTTCTTATGTATGATTTCTGCATGAACTACTGATATGGTGTTTAAGTATTTGAGTAAATCGACGAGTGTATTCCTCTTTTCATACATAAGGAAAAAAGTGTAATTGACATATAGCTAAAGTAACTTATACGCTTTATACAAATACATAAACCTTAAGCTAATGTTCTTGAATCCTAAGAATGTACTTCAAATTAAATACTTGGACACATTACGAATGTAACTTATTTAATATTACTAATAAAAATTATACATTGAAGTAATTCTCATCCAAAATGATTATGGTGTAGTATTGCTATTTTTAAAACAAAAGTATTGTTAATGTTAATATATTTTTGCTATTTTTGAGCACTTTTCGGCTCACAGAAGGTTTGGGTTACATCCTGGACGAAAATTTTAAGTATGAAAAAGTTGTATATAAATCATATCTTCAACTTTACCTTTTACAGTAAACCTCGAAAATAGCACGTAACAAAGTTATAGCCGATAAATTGGTTTTTTTTTTTTCTCTATGAAAGTACCAACAAGAGCTCACAGTGATTTGAGTGGTAGAGTGCTTGCCTTCCGTATGGAGGGCTCGGGTTCAAGATCCCACTCCGTCACTTTTTCCTGGATACCTCTGTGGTTTTTTCTATACGTCCCAAACGCTGTTGAGCTCTTCGTCAGTATGGTGTAATGCTACCATACCAACTGAGAATAAGGGAAACGGTGCCTAGCTCTGCGGTGTAATGCAACACCATGTCGTTGGAGCAGTAAGAATCAACGGTGCCTTAAGGTAGGACCTCCGCCTAAATCTGGGGTACAAGACTTATGTAATTCAATAGATGAAGACCCGCTAAATCCAATGGTACCTTCAGTTATGCCCGATGACGGACAAAATCTCGAGATATTAAAGCTCAAAGTTCGAATCTTACTAATATATAAAGCAAAGTCGCTAAAACCGTTGTAATCGCTAACCGCGAAAAATACGGAACCGATTTTGCTGAAATTTTGCACACTGATTCATAATACTTCCTAGATGGTCTTAGTATAGTTTTTATCTTAAAAAATTGAATAACAATAGCAATAAATGATCTAAAAGTTTTACAAAAATACGCCAGCTTTTCACATTAGTTCAGTAAAATCCGCTAGGTGGCGTCGACACAAAATCGAAGCTACCTGCAACATAATTAAATAAGTGTGGTTATAATAGGCTGGAGCGTCGCCGTACTGTTGTAGTCGAGCTTCCGTATTTCAACGAACTGTATAGAGAATGCTGATGATAGTCTTGCAGCTGGGTATCCCGGTTACGGACGACACTCTTCTCTAAGGGGGAAAGGACCTAGATGTCCATTTACACTGAATCTCAACGAGTGCGATCAAAAAAAAAAAATTAATTCCCTTCGATGCCATCTCTGCCACAATACCAGGAGACATATCAAGCCTGAGTACAATCTGCACCAACTTTTCAGAGTTGTGTGGCAGTCCCACCATCCCGCCTGGTGTAGTTAGAGAATTTGTGGCTACAAATGTAAGCAAGGGAAAACAGCTCTGAGGGGCGTAGGCAGCCACAACGGCTACCTTCTTGGTCGTCGCATCCCCAACGCGCTTACCGCCAGCTCTTCATCATCAGGATTAATAATAAAGAATAGTCTGAAAGTTTCACCACTGGCGCTTTTTAGGGCCATTATAAGTATTTACGTTCCCTACTTAACTTTATCAATTTCATCGGTTCTTTTTAGGATCCACCTAAGTGTAAACTACCTGGCCAACAAATACATTTTTATTACCATTCCCGGAAGCGATTCGTCGACTAAAAAACTATATTAACTAAAGACGGGCACTATTAAACCAAGTCAGCCATTCACTAGCAGACGTCACCTGCGGAGTTATTCTTCGCAAGGCTGGAAAATCCGGTGACCGACGACTCTATACTACCCTCTCGACTCTAAGTATTCAACCAAGAATCACTGATCCTCTCCAAGGTCTGCAAACCTATAACAGCTATGAAGGAAAAAAAAACTTGAGCCAACGGGACAGCCTCCACTGGACAAGTATCACTAACCAATCTCCGCATCTAAGATCACCAAAACAACTGAATCTGCAAATAAAAAAGGTGCTTTAGACACCAACGTCTTCGACGTTATACCGGGAGACGTTGGGAAAGAGCACTACAACTAGCCCCAAAGCTTTGGACTTTGTAATTTTTCTCCCGATCAGTCTGGGTCTTCAACAGCAAGCCAGAAAAGATCACCCCGAGGTATCCAGGCAGTCACAATTGCTGTTAACTGCAGTCAAGAAAGAGTTAACTTAAGAAGCTCACCGATCTTTTTTAGGGCCATCGGACGTCAAACTACCTTGCCAACAAATATATTAGAACTTAACAAAGTTGACAGAAAACAGCTTTTAGGGGTCACAAAAATTTTAAGCATGCCAAAAGTCGCAAGAGGGTGGATTGGAAGAAAAACTTCAAGTGTATCTAACAAATACAATTTTACTTAGGCGTCAAGAAACTGACGCAGAAAATTTATCGAGACTGAAACAGCAGCGTCAAAATCGACAACTAAAGAGTCCGATTACGTGAGAGATCAGCTTTTCATTGTACCCTCACAGCAATCTCTGAAATCTTTAAAGATCCTACTTCAGATTTTTTGATGAGTAGAAAATGTATTTGTGTTTTTGTGGCAATAAAAATGTAGGGTTTAAGGTCCAGGACTTTGTTGCTCTGGTAATAAAGTTGTGAGAAATGAGAAAAAAAATTTTTTCTTAATATAAATTTTTTGGGGGTTTAAAATCTTAATAGCCTTAAAAAATAGCCGTTTTCGTGAATTACACGGGAGAAACTGTAAATCAACGGCTTCTTATGGCCACCGATTATTTTATGGCATAAAGAACGCACGGTAATTTTCAGCATAATTATTTTTTTTGAATTTTTACACCTTATCATTTGACCAAATAAACTATATGGATTTCGAAAAAATATGTTTTTGATAAGAAGATTTTTGTTCTGAGATATATCAGGAATATGTGTAAAATTTTTAACTGAAAATGTTTCACATTAGATGTCAACACACTACGGTGTTTTATTTAGTAAGTCTCGGGCAAAGCCGAGACGGGGGGCTGATAGTGTTTTATACAGGCGCATACAAAAAAATGAGAAAAAAGTGACAAAATCACATATTGTGAATAAAAAACAAAAATCTGAGTAAAGTGAGTATATGGAACTTGTAGAAAAAATACTCTTCTTTCGGATCGTGTTAAGCACAATATGGGTTGACGGCCAATTTCTCGAGATATTTAACAAAAACGAACGTAAATACTGGTTTTGTGATCACGAGAGAAAGTCGGGGAAGCCACCATATTAGTATATGTTAGCGCGCGGTTTTTTAAAAGCGAGTAGTAACGAAAATGCTTGTGGTGTCAATTTTGTTTTTGTTTTTTGATGTTCATTTATTATTTCAAAAATACTTAACTGACCAAAACAACGAACAGTAAAATTACAACTAAAAAATAACTACTCTGTCACATTAGCAGACGTACGTGTTTACTCACTGATGTGGGTACACACGTCGTCTGCATTATCGACACTACTGCCGAAGTCAAACTCGAACTCGCGCAGTAATTTGACTAGTACGGTACTCGGAGGTCCTACCTTAAATTATTAGTTCTCGAGTATACAGATTTAAAAACAGATTTGATATAGTAAACCGTTATCAGAGTAAGTGACACAAGGCCATCCACAATTACCAAGACCAAGAAAGTACCATCTCAAAATGACTGCCATTTTTTTCTGAAACAGGAAATAAACTTGCCGATTTCAAACCATCACGTTAGATGTAAAAGACAAAGCTTTCTGTCAGATTTCAGCCCAATTATTTTTTTTTTTTTTTATGTTTTAGGGCTCTACGTCTGGGCTCCTTTATTTAGGGCACTACTATGGGCACTTAGCACTTGGGAAAGGGATGGAAGGCCTCCCATTACAGGAGGGGGGTAGAGGGAAATTAGGCAATTTTGCTGCGAGGAGGTCGCCTTAGCCCTCCTCGAGGAGCATTGCGTGGTGAAAAAGCACATGTGAAATCTCTCAGAGGTACTTACTTGCGCGAAAAGTCGCATTGGCCGGGAATCAAACCATGGTCTCCCGCGTGCCTTCCACGACCTAACTGACTGAGCCACCGCGCGCTCTAATTCAGCCCAATTCGACAAAAACTGTGTGAAATAGTCTGTACCAGCTGTTTGGCGTCAGGCCATCATAGTCAATTTGAAATCCCTAATAAAATAAGGCTTGAGGAAAACATGGATGAAATATCAAGGCAATTTTATGGAGAAAAACGAAAGAAAAGTGAAATTGAAAATAGGACTTTTAACACGGTTTTTACGGATCTTCTCAATTTATTCGCCGGAAGTCACGGTTTTTTTTAGCTCAAAGTCAGGCCATATGATACAATAATTGAGCCAAGTTTGTTGAAGTGATACTCTTTCAAATGGTGTTGCCAATATATGAATTTGCCGAACTAGATTGAAGGATACATATGTCGTTAAAAGTAGACGAAAGGTTGTGGTTTTGTCCACATGATGTCTGAGTGGACAGTTGATCCCAGTGGTTTTCTACGATGGAAACCCATCGCGTGAGCCTGGTTTCATGGTGCGGAAGCACTGTGTGGTTGTGGATGCTGGGACTTCTTATGACTTGTGTGTCGGGAGTAGGTGCCATGGTACTATTATGTCCTAGTTCATCAACGTCTCGGTTGATTCTCCCGAATATCCGATGGAGTTTATTATTATCCAAAGACCCGATTATTCGGGTGATTTACGCTTGATTTCCTACTTCTTCTTTGTTTTAATTTTCATTGCCAAGTTAAGGTATAGCATAAGTAAACAGCTAATGATGATTGTTAAGGGTTACTACTGCAGTATTTCTTATAACTTTATAATATCTCATACTCAGTAATTTTTACTTTATTAATGCTTGGTTTTTATTGAGGTATCACATCTTTCTACCGTATATCTCGATACTACCATTGAGGTCAAATCAAATCGCCATTTAGGATTGTGATTTTTCTTTTCACGAAAAAAGTGATTGACTAGGGCTGAGGTACCTCACGAACGTTAGAATAAACTGAATTAAACCACTAGAACATCTATGATCACTATCAAATCATTTTCAGAGTGTTTCCCGTTTACGTATGAGATAATTGTATGGTCAAAAATTTATTACAGTATCAAAAAAACAGGCTCTATAAAATATTACAAGTCTCACATTCTCTTTTTAGTTTTTCCGTTAATTCTGCTCACGAACAAAGTCAAACAAAATGAGTAGTAGAATGAGTAAATATAACAGTACATCATTATTTTTCTAAATTTACATTTAAAAGGAGCATATTAATCTTAAAATAAAATGAAAAAATTACACAAAATATTATATTTTTATTTTTAAAAAAAAGTCTTTTGCAGCTAGACTTTTTCCATTTTTAGAATACAAAATAGTTTTCACAATATTTTACGTATAAATTTAATGTGTGTATAATTGTATCTAAACTAATACTGACGGTAATAAAAATTCCGTTGTAGTCACTTAAACACATTTTTCAATAAAAAGTAAACATCAATATCAATAACTTTTGCCTTACGTTTTTTTACGAGAAACTTATAAGATATTTTGTAAACACGGCAAGTATATACAAAACTAATATCAGTATATTAAGTTATATTGAACAGTATATAAATATCGTAAAAGTACCTTTAGTATGAAATTAAATAAAAATGATACTAGTTTTTAATGATATACTTACATAAAATTTTAATAGCCTTTCTGATAAAATTATCTTTACTTTGTTGTAAGACTTTTTGTAGTATATCTTCTACATAATGATAATGCATATAAATCAAAATATCAATGTACTTATATGTTTAATGCTATATTTATGCTCAAATCCCATAAATTTTATACAAATATAGCTACATTAATTACATTTTCAAGAACTTTTTTCATCGTCGTGCACTTTCCATATGAGACATCTAATTATGATTTTTTGAGTGTAAACGAAACATGTATGTATTTATAATATTGTCTTAATAAGCATGTAAACAAGCATTTATGCAATAAATATACAAATGTACGTAAAGAAAATACAAAATATATTGATTACATATTTTTGTCTTATCGAATTTGCGTCATTGATTTCAGTTCGTATTTAAAGTATAAATCACAGACTTTTAATCTTTCCATAAGCAGCCAAACAATTTTTCATAAGAACTAACTCTCATTACAATAAAAGAAAAAAAAATGTTTACTTTTTTCCAACATTTTAAACCATGTCGCAACTAATACAAGATTAAATGAATTTTAGCGTACACAGCCCCAAGACGAACGCTGGCAGATTTTACATCATCCAATACCCATCGACTTTTTGAAACAAAATTTCGATATTGGTGCCGCTGACTCTGTCTTCATATTAATTTATATTATAAAAAAAAATTTTTTTTAAATATTAATTCAACAGTAAAAAATTGATTTTTAATCGTATCGAATAACGTGGACGACTTATTGCAACACTGCAATTACTGTTTGGTGGTTCAGTGAATTTGGAAAGATATGCACGTACAGGAGCCGTCATATTTGAAGGCTGAGGGGCGGCACTACCGGAACTGCCTACATCAGTTGATGATCTTTTCACGACTGATGGAGATACATGTTCAGCCTTTTATATCTGTAAAAAGAGACATATATTGTTTTTAATTAAGATATCTTAAACTGAAAAAAAAAAAGAAAATTGTAAAACGTTTTAAACTAATTTTATACATCATAACTTTTTCATGTATTTTATAAAAACAAAGAGGTATTCTCTATCAACATGAACAATGCATAATTTAGCAATATGCAAAATAAGTTTTTAGTTTAAATTTTGATTTAAAAATGTTCAGCCTCTGGGTAAGAAGGTTTTAAATCAAACTTGAGCAAAATATATTGATTCTCCGAAGTAAGCCAGTGATTAGATAAACGGAAAAATGTCAATGTAAAAAAGTAAAAATGCTTCTCATCTCTCTAGATTCTAATCCAAAATTACTCGTGAAGTACATAAATATTGAGTCAACCAAAACGTTGCACAGAGGTAATAGCAGTTTTTTCCTAGATAATCCAGTAGACTTTAAACGCTCAACAACAATGTTTGGCAAAGAAAGTATTCAAGAACCACTAAATCTTATTTTCACTATTTCTCGCCGAAAGAGGCTGTAAGTTGCCATCCATTCCGAAGAGAGAGAGAGAGAGAGAGAGTCCGAGGAGTAAAAAGCCAGTCAGAGAAATGGATATCGTAAATCGAGGGAGAAGGAGAGCGCAACGCGCTACTCGAGAGCTGCACCGAGAGCTTGCAGAGGCAGAGTACCGAGCTTGCGATATCCGGGAAGCGTATGCGGTACGCCACGCTTATCTTGCTCGCTTTCTTCCGTCCGTCTTTTCCGTGCCTATCCCCTTACACTACCTTTTCACTCTCTCTCTCTTTTTCCCAAGCACAGCTTATTCCTTCTTTTGGGTGGAAAAGTGAAGTATCGAACGTATCAAATAAATGTGTACGTACTGAACCAACTAAATGTTACGAACGGATCATTTTTATATCATGCAGAACCACAATCATTTTTTACATTTAAACTCGTGTGCTCTGATTTCCCTTTATCCTCAATAGATGTAACTTCTATAGTTTTTGGCTCGTTTGATTTTCAAAGTATGATTTTTAAATATGATATGAAAAAATATTCACTTTTAAGTTAAACTAGAACTAGAATTATTTCTTGCAAAAAACTTTAACGTTTTAGTTGATTGAATACGTAAAACACAAAAAAGTTAAGCTAAACCTTGTATGTGAAAATAATTTGTGGCTCTGACAGTGAACATGTGTTAATTTAATTTCTTTACGTCGAAAAATATGCAAAACGCGAATCCAAAGGAATTATAAGCTCACTATTTATTAGAATTTAAAACCTTATAACTCAATATAAAATGATTATTAAAAGTTATACATTTTTAAAGTATAAGCATTGGAAAATCCACGTATTCGCAATGTCAACTCACAGCACCCCTTTCTAAGCCCCCTCAATCCCATCATATGCATGAGGCTAGCCATAAAATCTCATTACCCTAAACCAAGCTTTTGAAAACAGGAATTCCTGCGGTGCAGCATCTAATATCGTCAAATCATATTAATGTAATTAATCACCCCTCGTTTTCTTATCATGCAAGCTTTTAAACTCCATAAACACAATACAACAAGATTTTGAATGTAAAAATGAAAGTGCAAAGCTTAAGCATTTGTTCTGAAAAGAACTATATGGTGCCTCATTACGAAAATAATATAAAACAATATAAAATATACATCTAAGAAAACCGTGAACGATCAACAACCTTTTGGTTCATAAAAAGTTCCCAACTCGCTCCATCGACAACAAAAAAATGCATCCCTTAGTCGCCAACCTTCAAAAAACAAATACCGCAAACTCTTGCAAAACTCACCTCACCGACTCGTCCAACCCGTCGTTTTACACCTCGTTATCAGACGACGCGCGAACAACGTCCTTGGACTTGGGCATGAAAACGGTCTTGTACAACAGCGAAGCCATGATAGCCCCGGCAAAAGGACCGAACCAATAAATCCAATGCCTAGCCCACATGTTGTTCAAAAGGGCGGGCCCAAAGGACCTGGCGGGGTTCATGCTGCAGCCGGTGTAGGGGACGAACCCAAAGCACAGGACGGCGACGGCCAAGCCGAATTTTATGGCCGTGGAGTCAGTGTTGCGCGAGTTGCGAGCGTCGGCCACGGCGCAGGACATGAACACCAGGACTCCGGTTGCTAGGACCTCGGCTAGGAAGCCCTGGAGCACCGAGACCCGCGAGTGAAGGAGAGTGACGCAGAAGCTGTCCGATGACTCCGGGCTGGCACCATAAAGGAGATCTTGGGGTGTTATCAGCTGTTGGCACGGATATATCAAAGTTGTCAATGATTTCGAAATAATGATTTATCCACTGTTATAAGGTATGGGGAATATAGTTTTCATAATACATCCTTTGGATTACTTATTGGCTAACGGGTAAACGATGAATGGTGTTTTATGAGCTCATAAACAAATTTTGTATAATCAATTACTTGTCTTTATCTCCGTCAAATTATTGATAGATACATTGACAGAGAGAAAATAATAAAAATTACTGTGCTATAGAATGATAATCTAGTGTCATTTAGCCATCTAGGGACTTGTTACTTTTGCCAAACTAATTTTTACCATTTCATTGCTAGACAGTAATTTCTATTGTACAAACAGTAAAAACCACTGTACTTAAAACAAAAATTATTGTTCCGAAAAATTATTGTTCAAATAGTCAAGTCTCTGGACAACCGAACAGTACCAGGTTACCATTCTGCCACAGTAATATTTACTACTTTTCTCTCTCGGTGTGTAATTGAGTTCATTATAATACGTCCACTTAAGGTGGCTCATCACAAAATGAAAATAGTTGAAGTATGTATGAAACTTGCAATTATCACACTTGACTATTAATTGTATCATCTCACAAAATTTGAAACCACGTTGCCAGGCAATTTTCTCAAAACGAATCACTAAAAAATTTTATGTTTAACGTGGTCTCTTATAGGAGGCTATTTAATCTTGATAACATTTGATACAATATCGTCTAAATTATACTTTAACTCTCATTATAAAACTAATTACTGAAAAAAAAATCATGAGCTTCTCAATGATATCAAAAAAAGTAGGTTCTCCAAGCAATATTGTATAATATTTCAATCAATTAGGTGAATGTTTATGAAAATATACAGGTTACTTGAACTGTGACAACTTTAGCACCCAATATTTTTAGGTGTGATAGTTTGATGTCTCGTAAATAGATAATATATTTATGTGATGAGCCACCTTAACAAAACGGAAATTGTATTTTTTCAACATGTTATTGTATGCTCAATTTAGTTTTGCAAATAACTAAACATTACCGATCGTCATTGTTGGGAGAAAGATTTTTATCATCATTACTTCACGAAAATACCCCCGGGGGTTACCTTCAAAAGCCCGTAGCCAACAATTCCTCCAGCTGTCTGGCCGATGAAATAAACTAGGGCAGATAGCAAAGATTTGTGTCCACAGACGACCGCTCCCACCGTGACCGCGGGATTTATATGTGCGCCGCTAATGTGAGCCACCGCCTGAAACATAGAATCATGGGGTTGAGATGCGTGTTGGCGAAATAACAGCTATGACTTGTTGATGCTGTTGATTACAATTTAGGGCTTTATTTTTTATTACGAGCCTTTTGTTTTTGTTTGATATTTTAGAGAACAAAAAATTTTTTTTTTTTACTTAACTGTTTAAAAGTCACTATTCGCTACTGTTTGTATTATTTTTAAAACTATGCTTGTAATAAAATCGAAACATTAAATTCATAAAAAATAACATGCTGATCTGTACTGCATTTGTAGGTAATACAAGCATTAGAATGTTACGCGTTTCAATCAGGAGTGAAACATAAACTGTTTCGAGTGACAATTTTAGCAACATAGTTACAAAAATAATGGATAGCTAACGATCCCGAAATAATTGACTTATGCTTATTTTTTATTCATTTATTCAGGAGTAATTACTGTAAAAAAAGATTGTAATAAAAGTTATTATACAAAAACATGATATTTTTTAAATACGCTTAAGTACAAACTATGTATAACATATTAAAATAAATTTGTTTTAAAACTGGTTTAATAAAAACACAAAATACTACTAGCTTTATCAAATCAGATTACAAATAAGGAGCTTAATCATAAGGTCATGAGAAATTGCATCGTCAGCCGATGACAAAAAAAAAACAAACAGAATTATCACGACTTGCCGTAATTGAAATGATGACGGCGAATCCAAAGCTGAGGCAAATCTGAAGGTGCGAGGGCACATTGCCCATACTTCCAACGCATCCCAAACAGCCAAGGAAAACAAGCATCGCCGTGCCGATCATCTCGGCAACGCCTTTTTTGATGGACTCCAATGCCGAGCCGTCTTCTTTGCTCCCTGCCGGACAAAGAAAATGATACACATTTTGTATTCATTGGTATTTTGGTTACATTATCATGATAATTGATAATAGGATATTTTGCATGACAAAATACAAAATTGGCGGTAATTTCATTGTTCGCGCCAAGAGGTGTCATTATCTTTTGACAAACACTCAAATTATAATGTAATTGCTCAGTTGACCTACCTATAACACTACACTGTTTTAAATAACGTATGTATGAGTGTGCGTACATTCATCCATGTGTAAGCGAGAATCAAAATACGCATTTGTATTACGTAACTAATTAAACAATGCACCAACAACATTACAAAACCTCCTTAAAATTTTCATACATAACATGGACTAACCAACGGGAATTTTAATACAGGATTACAATGTAAATTAAAAAATTCCACGGCAACTTTACACGTTCCTATATGCTGAGTATTGAGGGTAGAATTTTACATCCCTATGTTATTGTTTTATGCTCTTTTGAAATAGTTTCGATTTAAAACGTTCTGCAGTTCATATTTTCCAAATATACGTCAAATTATATACTTATCTCCTTTAATAACATTAAAAACTGATAAATTAATTTGACATGGTGCATTTTACGAAAACGATTGTGCGTTTTATATTTGTATTACTTGCTTGTAAGTTTTATTGTGATTTTTGTATTATTATTTGATGAAAAAAAAAAAATAATCTAAGAAAACCAAGCTCAATGCATAAGGAAAATTGGGATATGGTTGTGCGATTATTGCAATTTTTATTTTAGCCAAAATTATAAGAATTAACAGGAGGCAGTTAGGTCAGGGCATGTGGCATGCCCTTCTAAATGTATGTCACTGGATATCGTTAATCATTTATTGCACAACATCAATAATAGCAGAAGCCAACATTATTTTGTAACAGTATATTTTTACGAAATTCCTTTCAACGATTTGTGGTCTTAAATGTATAGGTAAAGAAATGAGTTTTTTTTTCCTGGTAATGAATGCAAAAAAATATGAATAAGGAATTAAAATAAAATGAACGTCTAGCCATGGTAACCAAATAAGCACACGAGGGTGCAAAACAACGGGATGAAAACAAAGTGCTCACAATCCAACGAATCAAGTCCAAAGAAAGTTTGTACAAGCGGATGGAATTTGTCAAAAGAATACACGGAAACCGCATCAGGGAGAAAGAGATGCTGGTTCATCTGGCTACATCCCGAGTAATTTCAAGACTCTATCCACGAGCTCCGCGAACCACAAAAAATGTACGTATTACCCCGTACTCGCCAACTCGCGTTTCTATGATATTCCCGTGCATATGTACAAGCGCAGGTGTACCGAAAGCGTCTGGGGGAGCAATAAATTCTAATGCGCGACGTCTCCTCGGCTCCTCAACAAGTGGCGAGATGATTGCGGAGCGGCCCTCTTTCTCCGCCAGGCTTTTCGGAAGAAGCTTAATTTATGAATCGAAACGAAGCCTCCGCGCGGCTCCGTCCATACTACATACACACCCCCGCGAAATTAGCATTTCTCCGTATACGCGGCAGAAAATACGACTCCGACGTGGGAGATAAATGCGCTTCGTGCCCCGAGACGGGGCTTATGAAATTCGCTCGAGAGCTAAGCTGCCGCGTGTGCCCTCCCGTGTTCCCCGACTCGCTTGGCTTGAAATACTTTTTACAAATATTTACCCAAGCGATGCGTACGCGGGGGTTGTCTTTTTTTCTTTTTTTTTTTTCTCGGAAATAACGTGGCCCACCCTTCCTCATTCCGTAACCTACATCCAAAACTTCCGCTCTCCATGTCTACTTGGGTGAGTTTCCTCGCTCGATAAAGTACGTGTAACTTGTACGATTCACGCGTGGAAATCATCGACTCTCTCTCTTTCGCCAAAGTAGTTTTTGGTGCACATATATATACGTATGTGCATGGACCCACTTTCAGCAGAGCAAACCGACCGTGAACGCGCTCGCAACTTTGACTTTTCTCCCGCGCTAACTTCCACTACAGCGTAAGTGTATGTATGTGTATATATATATATATATATATATATATATTGAGGGGGTTGCGAGTGATTTCGCCGCAAGTTCGTCACCCCCGGTATACTCTTGGTAGCTATATATATGCATATATGTACATACATGGGCGAGAGACCGCCGAATTCGATTATCGAGTCGCAGTTGGCGTGTGCAGCGCATGCATACATTATAATACAATTGTATACGTAATATGTATATATACACGTCGAGTCCGGGAATTTACATGAAACGGGGGGTGGTGTTGTTGGGGGTTTTCGCAGTGGTAGTGGCGATAGTGGTTTATGCAGATGCTCCCGTCTAACGTTTGGGTTTACGCGTATGCGTGCGCCATGGGAGGGTTTTGGCCGTGTGCTCGATGAATCGTATTGTGACGCGGGTGCAATATAGGCGTTGGTGGAAAAATGAAGAGGGGGGGAGGGGCAATTAGGGTTGTATACAGGAGGTTGGGCGAGTAAGTATATGCGTGTGTGTGGAAAGGGATCAGTACAGCGCTGTCAGGCCGATATTGCGAGTTTGAGCACTTTGATGGTGCAGTGATTGTGCGAGCTGGCAAAGATGGACGGAATTTTTTTTTCAGGAGAAGGGGTTTCATAACAAACGTAACCAACAAGCTTTAACCCTGAACCTAGGCTTTTTTTTCTATTACACGACCTAATTGGCTCTGTCCTCGGTTCTGTCAGCATAACAATAAGCTGTTAAGAACGAAAAATAAGTACAACAATGAGTAATTTATGGTAAACTACTGATTGTTGAACCCAAACTTTAAATTTAGAAGAATTTACCCTACATAACCCATCGCTCTTAGTTATTTTTTCTCTTAAGGATGTTAGTTGTCAAAGATCGGACATTAAGCCTATCTCTTTTATTGTGGCGTCAATGAAGGAGCAGTGATATTTTGGGCCTGGAGGGCGCAAAAAACTTTTTTGCCCGTGGGCCCAAAGTGATTACAAGGGCGCAAAGTGTGACCCGAGGGCGCAAAGAGGCAGTTTTACTTTGGGCCCATGGTAAGAATGGTAGTTTTCCTACGAGTTTGAAAAGTCTCTGTGTGCGAACCGAGAGGTTTGCGGCCCGAGCCGAAGGCGAGGTCTGTAATGAGGTTCGTAAAGGAGACTTTTCGAACGAGTTCTGGAAAACTGCTTTTTCGCCCAAGGAAGTACCAGCCTCCCAAAACCACCCGAGGGCGGAAATAGTATTCGCACACAGAGACTTTTCAAACTCGTAGGAAAACTACTATTTCGGTCTTTCTAAATAAAAAAAATCACCTTTTTAAAATCTCAATCGAAAAACTTGACGTTTTAAAATTTTCAGCCAAAGAGACATATTACATTTACATATTACAATTTTCAGGCAAAAATCAATTGCCATTTTTTCTAAGGAAACATAAGATCATTATACAAGTCCATGTTTGGAGTGTGGAATCGTTTATTTAAAATGAAAGTTGATATTTCGCTATTCAAAGACGGTCTCTTTATGACAAGAATTAAAATTTTTTAAAAAGCTGCCTAAATCATGTAGCCAAAAACATCCAGGCATCTTTATTCAGATATTGTTGTAATTAATGTTATAAAGTACATTGTAAAGAAAAATTCGTTAATCCAACGGCTAACTTGAGTGAAACATGAAAAAACTTTTAAAAATTGCTTACCCTGATTTTTTTTTCTTTTTACTTAGTTAAAAGTAAAATTTTTTTAAATTGACTCCTTTCAAGGAGGCCCCTATACCTATTATGAATCAAGTATCAATAAAGTATATAGTTCATTAGATAATGAATTCAGCATTAATTTTTTAGCATTTTTTATTCAATGATTTTTTGAATCTGTTTTTTTAATATTGATTTTAAAAAGTTATCTACTCCATATCTGCATACGAACTTTTGCACACATGTTCATGCATTCTTAACAAATGATGACATACTAAAAAAAAAGAATATTTAACAATTTCCAACGAATTTTTATTATTTTAAGTTCATGAGTTGGGGTTACAATTTTTTTGTAATTAATTGCAATTTCGAAGGTTGTTCATCAATCATACGAAGAACAAGACATTTTGAGGAGTATTTAAAAGTATTTTGATAGTACTTTGCCGGTAAGTCTCAGTGCAATATAGTGAGTTAGCTATTGTTTGATTGACTTGACGCTCAATCGACTGCAGAGCAAAAGGTTCGAGCCTCCTTCAAAGCCGTAGAAGAACTCGGTTTGAAAAGGAGTTTTTAATTTGTCTGGGATTAAAAGCTTACTGCTCATTAACTATAAATTCAAAGTGAGAGGCCTGGATCTATTGACTGATGGATCTTTCAAAGTGAGCTTTCCGTAACTTGTTGAATTAACATTATTTTAGTGAAGTGTTTAAAAAAAATAACGATTCTAAAATAATCTTTGTACTAATTTTATGCTTAAAATATTTATCGTAAAAAAGTTTCGCCAGTCCAAATGAACGTTGATTTCAACACAACCCAAAAAATATTCATTCGAATTAATTAAATATTTGCTGAAATCAAATAACGTCAATTGAAAGCAAATAAATAATTTCTCTGTAACGTAATATTTGATAAATTTGAATAAATATTTATTTTGTTCCAATTAATGTTCATTGGTTTACATTTTAAACGAACGTTTATTTAGATCAACAAAATTTTCTTTCAGTGTAAGTTGAAAAGAGGTCTTGACTTTTTCTAATGAAACAAAAATCTCATCTTCAACAGTTTTATGCAAATACACCAAATTGCTTAAACAAGTTCACCCGGGAATTAGAGAATAAAAGCTATTTAGCCGTGCTAACGGAAGTTTCCACTTATTGGGTTATACAATCAGAATTTCTCTTTTACTTAACGAACATCTTGCCTCGAGCTTTGAGGTCTACTTGGTGCAAACAGCCGCTTGCGCGAGCGAAACTTTTTAAGACTTCATTAAACTAGTTGTTTCAACATCTTCAAAGTTTAAAACGCCACGGTGACTTAATTGCGAGAAAACTTCTTTG